TATTTGCTGAATAGCTTTGTTAATAGAAAGATGAGGAAGTCAGACTTTTGAGAAGAATACACTTGACCAGGAAAATTAAAATGGAGAAGAATTGATTTGTTGTTTCTTTGAGTTTACATAAGATGTAATCTCTTTCCTAAAGTCAGAGGTATATTAATGGCCAAAAAATACTCCCTGAACATGTCCCAATATAACATGGGCAGAGAAACACCACCTAGTGGGTGGCAAGTTGGACTTAGCTAAACCTTTGCAAATTCAGGAGTCCCATGGTAGTTTTTTGTCTCTCTACATACTACAGCACCCTCCTTGTGATTAGAACTCTTTCTTTTTAAATTTGTGTTTGAAAGAATTTCAAACTTAAGGAACAGTTGCAAGAATTGGTCAGTGGACTCCCACATACCCTTTGTCTGCATTCACCAATTGTTAACATTTTGCCATATTGACTTTATCACTCTATATAATAGTATTATTTCATGTTTGCTCAACAATTTAAGTGTAGGTTGCAGACATCGTGTACCTTCACTCCTAAGTACATTACCATGCATCTCCTAAAAACAAAGATATTCTCTTACTTAGTCATAATGAATGATCAAATTCAAGAAGCAAAACTTTGGCAAAATAGTATATACAGTCCACATTAAGATTTTTTTTCTAATTGTCCCAACAATGTCCTTTGTAGTGACTTTTCCTCCCAACACAAGATCATGCATTGCCTTTAGCTGTCATGTAAGTTCTTTTGCCTTTGGAACATGTCATTTCTGTCCAGAAATAGAGGATGGTCTTTGGACTTTTATTTCCTGTAAGCTTTGTTGAAGGAAAAAAGACATTAGGAATTTCAAAGAGGCTGCTTGCTAAAAAAAAAACCCAAATTGCCCAGGGAAGGAGGACTTTTTGTTTTTAATTTTTAAAACTTTGGCTGGGTTTTGGTGTCTTGACTCAGCAAAGTCTATAATGCATTAGGGCTTGGTAAGCATTAAAGGGGATACTGAAGCTTTCTTTTATTTCATAATCCCAATTGGTTTTTTCTAGAAACCATCAATAGCCTCTAAATGACTGACTCAATTTTTGGATTCTATTCTCATGACTAAGCAACTGTTTGATTTGAAACCAGCCCAGTATAAATGTCACTGTGCCTCTAACTCTCTGTAGCTATTCCTGAATTTCTTTCAGCACTGGGGAAACCAACCTATGCACCAAATATGTCTAAAACTGGAACCAAGGTAAGTAAATGGTCATACCAATTTTTAGCCTACCCACTTTTCACCTAAAGATACACTGAAAGGAACACAGAAAAAAGTTTTGGCTGCTTTGCCTGGAGGTGAGTATCATAATGATTAGGGCTGGGCTTGGCTGAGAAGATTAAGAAATGTTTATTATATTTTCAACTCTAACAGAATTACCAAACACCTTATTAAGGATTATCTTTCTGCCTTGTAGCAACTAATATTCTATGAATCTCCACAGGAGTAAGACATGCTGATGAAGATTATATGAAGTAGAAAACTTTTAGTAGTAAATTAAAAATATATTTTGTGAAATTTAGCCTCAACCATTAATGTTCTAAATGGCCAAGGTGGATGGGCCAATCAAGTGAATAAAATCCTATATATCTCCTTCACTCAAGCAGTTATTCTTACCCTTTCCCCAAATAAAGTGCTCCTTTACATTAGGAAAATTGCCTCCAAAATATTTGACTCACCGTTGCTGGGATGAAAATTGATCTCTCAGGGCTTTAGGAATGAGGGAATATGCCTTCTTTTTAGCTCTTCCACTGACCAGTGGGTGTAAGGCACAGCTGGTACCTGGTTTTTCCTCCAGTTTTTTACTTTGAAAATTTTCAAACCCATGGAATCCTGAAAGAATAAGAAATATTGAATGAATACTTGTGTATCCTTCACTCCAATTGTTAACATTTTGCCATATTTGGTCTCTCTGTGTCCCTGTCTCCTTCTTACTAAACCATTTGAAAATAAGTAGCAGAGTTTCCTGTACTTTTGCCTTAAATACTTAGGCATGCATCTCCTAAAAGCAAGGATATTCCCCTGTATAAACATTGTGTCATTATCATGTCCTCAGATTTATCATAAATATAATACCTAATATTGAAACCAACTTAAATCTTCCCCAGTTGCCCCCAGAAACGTGCTTTGTGGCTGGTTTTTCCCTTAATGTAGGATCCAGTCAAAGATCATGTATTGCATCTGGTCGTCATGTCTCCTTAGCCTCTTTATTTTTTTAGCCTGTTTAATCTAGAACAGTCCCCCTACCTTTTTTTTGTTGTTGTTGTTGTTGTTTGATATATTGACATTTTTAAAAATGTAGGCCAAGTATCTTTTAGAAAGTCCTGCAATATAGATTTCTCCAATTATTTCCTCATGTTCAGATTCAGACTAAGCATCTTTGGCAAGAAAGCTACATAGGCATTGTTGTGTACTTCCCATTGTGTCATGTCAGAAGGTACCTGTTAACTTGTTCCATAATTAATTAGTGCCTGATTTTTTTCCATTGGAAAATAGAACTAATAATCATGCTTGTCATCCAGAAGGTTTGGGGAGATAACTAAGTGTTGTTAGTGCTCTGAGGTTCTTGAAAATATGCCATGCAAATCCCACTAAAAAGAATTTTAAGTCCGTAGAGGGATATCCATGTGCCTTGAGGGAAGGCTGTTACATAACTATCCCTTTTTTTTTTTTTTTAAAGACTAGTCAAGTGCAATAGTGAGGAGGGGGGAAAGTAGTAGCACAAGGAGTTCAATCTGTAACTGACTGTGAACAATCAAGTGAGATAACCGTAACTGTCTCAGACAGATGAAAGTATCTCTCGATTTTAAAGATTTCCAGAGCAGCAATAGTGTACTCTTATTTATAGCTGAATTGTTCATTTAGTTAAATAAGTTTTGCTTGCTAGGCCAAAGGACACAGTAAGTTATTTCTTACTCTTTATCATTGCTTCTCCCTTTCCCACTGTCTTGCTAGCCGTTTAATCAGAGGAGTTATGGGCTTGGTAGAAGGAATGTAGTTTTACTAAGTATGTTTTTGTTACCTCTGGGATACTTAAGACATTTTTCTTTCTGCTACATTGGACTAGTAGGCTATTTTTCAAAAATATAAACTTGAAAATGATAGAAATTTTGTAATAATTTCTAGGAAAACCTTCTGTACATTTCTTAGCCTTCTCTACAAAATTTTTTGCCCAAGGGCCAAAACCTCTTAGCTGACAATACTGTGGATTTCATGGTTCTTCTACAAATAGAAATTGAGCCTAGGTAGGTGCAACATTCTCTGGCTCTGAGATTTGGAAGGCCTCCCACTGAAAGGAGAGCGTGGTCCTGGAGCTCAGTAATGATTCCATAGTAACAGGACAAGAGCTTTGTTTCAACCTTGGGATGGTTGGCTCATCTGCTGGGAGCGTGAACATCCGGTGAGCTTATTGAGTGTGGTGTATATTTCCACTTCTCAGACATTGGTATCAGTCAAGCAAATGTTGAGAGGGCAGTGAGTGTGAGAAACCATGAAGTAAAATAGATAATATTAACCTCACTTCCCATAGCATCTCTTGCAATGCCTCCTTTTTGGTGAATTACCAAAAAACCAAAGGCAAATTGAGTATATGAATTAAGGAGTTTAGAATCTAGTCGTTCTTAGAGAAGTTACCTGATTTTCCTAAAGATCTCTCCACAGGTCATGGGAAAAGCCTCTGAGGTTCAGGATCAGTCTTGTTCAGTGTCTAAGAGAGTAAGTGCTGCCATGTTAAACAGAGCTAGCTGCGCAGGTAGGAGGACAGCAAAAGAAAAGGAAGTGAACCACAGATACTAACCAGGAGTTTTGCTCTGCAGTCACTGGCTTACTTGCAACTAACTGGTAACTAGCTAGTAACGTTAGGCAAGTCACTTCTTCATCTGTAACAACTGTCACAAAAGCTTATTGGCAATTACGAGTCAGGTATTAAACTAAATACTTGATCAATATTATGCCATTGGACCCTCAGAACATCCCTCTACAGTAGATACTATTATCCCATTTTGCAAATGAAGAGCTTTAGAGAAAGGTTCAATGCCCTGTCCGAGGTTACATAGCAAGCAGTAGTGCTGGGATTTTTTTTTTTTTATCTGTAAACTGAGGTGTCATGTATCTAAATCTGTGCTACATCCTTTCCTTCATTCCCTACATGTAATTAGTCACCAAATTCTAAATTCACACAGCAGTTGCCCTTCAGTGGCCCTCATCATCTCACGCCTGGCCCATAGCAGCTATCTATTTCCAGGCACAGACTACTATGTACAGCTCTCAAATAATCACCAGAGATTCTAGCATGGCTCCTGTGTCATTTTTCTGGCTTTATTTTCTAATATTTCACATATACAAAATGCATTAGGCTAAACAAACTATTGTCCCTGTAACGGACCATGTTCTTTCACTTCTTTAATCTTTTGAACAGACTTGTCTTTTTCTTTGCCTCTGGAAAATACCCAATTATCCTTCAATCCTCAGCTCAAGATCCTCTCAAGATTCTGCCTGGCTCTACTTTTCGTCTGAAATGACTCACATGGTTTTCTACTTTTAAATCCATGAAGCAAATCAGCCACAAGGGGGCAGCATAGTGCTAGGGAATTAACCGCTCAAAGCATGACATCGGTAGTTTCAGTTTAAATTATAACCTAACATTGATCTTAGATTGTGGAATTATTGAACAACAGTAATAAACTCTGTAGTCCATTTGTGGTTTTTATAGTGGTTTTCAGAAAATGCTTTGTGAATCCTTAGGAGTTCCTGGGAACTCTATCCCCTATTTCAACCAGAAAAGCTCTTGAGTTGTTTTACAGCCAGGGGTTCCCATCCGCTCTAGTCCTTGCATTTGACAAAATGGGAAGCTGAAGCCCAGAGAGGCGACTTGACTAAGGTTGTAAGGCTGATTGTGGAGAGGCAGCTCTAGAGCCCAGGCTTCTTATTCCTGGTTTCCCATGGCTGCCGTCAGAGACTTACCCAAGGCATTGTGTTAGAAACCTGGTGAGAGTGTGAAGCAAAGAGCATTCCTGACTGGGCACTATGGCTCACACCTGTAATCCCGACACTGTGGGAGGCCCAGGCAAGAGCATGGCTTGAGGCCAGGAGTTTGAGACCAGCCTGGCCAACATAGTGAGACCCCATCTCTACAAAAAACTTAAAAAATTAGAGGGACATGGTGGTACACACCTGTAGTTCCAGGTACTAAGAAGGCTGAGGCAGGAGGATCACTTGAGCCCAGGAGTTCGAGGTTGCAGTGAGCTGTGATGATGCCACATCACACCAGCCTGGGCGACAGAGCAAGACCCTATATCGAAAAACAAAACAAAAAGAGCATTCTTGCCTTTGTTACTTTGCAACTACTCTATTGGCAATAAGCTAATAATACAGAACATAATATGTATATTTGCATGTGTATATGCTCTATATCCATCTAAAATAATCTTTCTAAAGCTAAGGTTTATGTTGTATTTTTCACTATATATCATCTATCACGAATTTCTGCATTTGGAACTCACTCATCTTTATCAAACATTCATTGAGGGCTTGTCAAGTGCTGGGCACAGGGGATCCATAGCTTAAGTAAGGCTTGGTCCTTGCCCTTGGAAGAAATCCAGAGGAAGTCTAGTGGGAAGGATAGCCACACAGATGGGTAATTTATAATATAATATAAGTACAGAGAGCTGTGGGGACGTAAAGGAAGACTTGAGTCTGAAACTGTTGGCTTACATTAGAGCACTCTTCTGTTTTGCTTCCTATTAAGCCTTTAGAAAGTACTCATTCCTATTGTTGACAACTAAAGTTGTCTGCCAGAAAGCATATTTTGTGAGGTGAGGTAGAACTATATATTTTCTCCTCAAAATTGAGGAGAAAGGAATTTCTAAAGGAGGGCAATGTGTTCTTAATTTTTATCTCCTCTGTGAATAAAGCTACCTAATTCTTCAGTTTTCTTTGTTTGCCTGTACTTCAGATCACTTTCTATGAAGACAAAAATTTTCAAGGCCGCCGCTATGACTGTGATTGCGACTGTGCAGATTTCCACACTTACCTAAGTCGCTGCAACTCCATTAGGGTGGAAGGAGGCACCTGGGCTGTGTACGAAAGGCCCAACTTTGCTGGGTACATGTACGTCTTACCTCAGGGAGAGTACCCTGAGTACCAGCGTTGGATGGGCCTCAACGACCGCCTCAGCTCCTGCAGAGCCGTTCATCTGGTACATCTGCCGACTTGCTCGCATTCTCTCCCTCCCTCCCTCCCTCCCTCCCTGGCTCCCTTTCTCTCACTCTCTCTGTCTCTCTCTTGCTTGCTTTTATGTGAAAGTTTTCTGGAGGTTTTTCTATGTCTTAATGTGTGGCTGTCTTTTGTTGGCTGCTGACGCTTAAATGACATCTTAGATCAGTTCATCACAGGACTCAATACACTAATTATTCTCATGGTACTTCCTCTCCTTCTTGAGTATTTTGAGGAGATAATTTTTTCTTATTAAAAGTCAGCTGTTTAGTACTATTCACAAGAGCCAAGATTTGGAATCAACCTAAGTGTCCATCAGTGGATAAGTGGATAAAAAAAATCGTGGTACATATACACAATGGAAAATTATATAGCCGTAAAAATGAAATCGTGCCATTTGCAACAACATGGATGGAATTGGAGAACATTATGTTAAGTGAAATAAGCCAAGCACAGAAAGAGCAAATCTCACATGTTCTCACTTATACGTGGGAGATAAATATTAAAACAATTGATCTCATGGAGACAGAGAACAGAATGACAGTTACCAGAGGCTGGGAAGGATAGTGGGGATGGGGGGATTATGTGGGGATGGTTAATGGGTGCAAAAGTACAATTAGATAGAGAAAATGAATAATATGTGATAGCACAACATGACTATAATCAACAATAAGTTGGAGTATACTTTAAAATAGCTAAAAAAGAGGGATTAGAATGTTCCTAACACAAAGAAATGATAAATGCTTGAGGAAATGTATACCCCAATTACCCTGATTTGATTAATACACATTGTATGCCTGTATCAAAACATCACACGTACCCTATGAAGATATGCAACTATCATGTTCCCATAATAATTAAAAATAAAAAGAAAGCTGTTTCAGTCAGTACACAGTGGAAATGGATGTTTAGATCATCTAGCTTTCAAGGTAGTAGATTTGGAGCTATACTGTTCTCTAAGTTCTTAACCTGCTGGTGATTTCCGTAATGGTTGCCGTTTGTGTTTTTTTCAGCCCAGCGGAGGCCAGTATAAGATTCAAATCTTTGAGAAAGCAGATTTTAGTGGTCAGATGTATGAAACCACTGAAGATTGCCCTTCCATCATGGAGCAGTTTCACATGCGAGAGATCCACTCCTGTAAGGTGCTGGAGGGTGTCTGGATTTTCTATGAGCTACCCAACTACCGTGGCAGGCAGTACCTGCTGGAGAAGAAGGAGTACCGGAAGCCCATCGACTGGAGTGCAGCCTCCCCAGCTGTGCAGTCTTTCCGCCGCGTTGTGGAGTAATGATGTGAATGAGGCCCTAGGCTTCTTCCTGGGGCCCAAATGCTGGCTGGCCTTTTGGTCCAAATAGGCATCATAAATAAAACAGTTGGCATGCATCCCACTGCTGACTATCACGCCTCTCCTTAAATGCTTTTAGGGACCAGCAATGTAGTGCCCGCCACCGTGGGCAGTCACACAAAGCAACTCATCCATCAGGTTACCAGTCTAGATCTTTGTGCCAAACAAAGTGAGATCACATTAAAAGGTTAGAAAATCATACTGCCACGTGGTGGTTCTTTTTGCTTATGTTTTGTATTAATTCAACAGGCACAGTAATAATTGCTGTCATTTATTGAGTGCCTACATTATTCCATTTCCTCTTCACAACCCTGTGAGAGGTAGTTTATCTGCATTTTACAAATAAAGAAACTGAGGCAGTGAAATTAAAAAATTGAAAACTTGCCCAAATTCACCAGCTGGTGAATGGAGGGGCCAGGATATTTCTGCTCCCAAAGCCATTGTTCTTGTCTCCTTATTTCCAGCACATTCATTCAACACATATGGGCCGGAGTTCTCTGCATATGATGTAAGTACAACTGTGAAAACAGGGTTATTATTTGAAAATAGTGGGGCCATAAGTCACCTGAAGTCTCTTGTTTAAGATCCAGAGACTCTCTGGAAGGAAGAAATGGAAAGCCATTTGCTGAGCTGCAGAGAGCTCTGGACCTTGTCGTCCTACTGTGTTCCCCTTATCTCCAAAACCAGAGAGTTGAACCAAATTCTTTCTCGAGTCCCATCAAACACAAACATTCTAATTCCCCAGAGGCTAGTAGGAGGACACTGAAAGACCAGCAGATGACCCAAGACTATTGACACTTAGTTTTAGAGGCACAATTTCTGGAAGTGACCTCAGAGAGCTGCCACCCATTTTCCACTGAAGAAACTGAAGCTGTGGTAACAGAGGGAGTTAGTATCAGTCTCTTCTCTCATATCAACTGCTGCCGTGTTCCTTGGTGAGTCGGTCACAATCTGTTCAAAACAACCAGAAAAGCAGTTCTGGCAGCAGGATAGGAAAACAAGAAGTGTTAGGATGACTAACCACAGTTTCAGAGAAGTAGAAAATGGCTTTAGACAGATAAAATCAGAATTATCATTTTGGGGTGTAACATGCCTAATCCAGGAAGACATCGCCACCATCAGCTGCAGACACACCAACTTTTTGCTTAAAAGGAATTTTACTAGCAATTGATATTAGAGATCAAAACCACATTATGTCCTTATCTATCTATCAACCTCAGCTCTTTTGGTAGAACATTCTGCTGTTAGAACAAGAAGCTGGTGTCCCATCCATCAACCACACCCAGAATACCACCTGATAATTCAGAGTCATCTCCCTCTACGGGTATTTTATTGTTTTATTACTCTGAAATAGGGGATCTCAAGAAAAAAAAGGCAAGGACATCCTTAAACCATTTTATCCCTATTTCCATCCCAAGCAGTCCTCTGAGAAAAGTCTCTGAATGTTTCCCAAATACGGAGCCCACTGTCTCAAAATGCAACATCAAGGGCTTTCATTTAAAGCCTCCAGGGTAGGGTTGCCAGATTAAGTACAGGACAGTATTCGTAAATCCCAAATGTTGGGATACAAACACAAATATGGTATAAGTATATCCCAAGTCTTGCATGGGACATACTTGTACTAAGAAATTTTCATTTGTCTGAAATTAAAATTTAACTGTATCTTTTATTTTTATTTGCTAAATCTGGCAACCTTACTTCAAGGGCAAAGCAAGTCACACAGGAGTGGCATGGAGCTAAGAGCACAGGGAGTGGTGCAGCTATGGAAACAAGGGCACGTGCCCCACAGAAGGCATTTAAATACATTTTCTGAAAAAACACTGCAAGCCAACAAAATATGTCTGCATGTGGATGTGGCCCGTGGACCACCAGTTTCCAATCTTGGCTTGTAGGGAAGCTCTTACTATCATAAATTGTGCTTTGCACTGAGCCAAAATCTGTCCCCTGAAACTTTCAACCTGAAGTCCTCATGCTGCTTTCCATCTAGCTCTTCATCCACAAGATAGCTCTTCTGACATTTACAGATCACCCTGTTTGCCTCCACGCTGGCATTTCCACACTGAACAGCTCCTGTTCCTTCCATCATTTCTGTCTTGACGTGTTGGCTCCCAGAATCCTCACCATGCTGGCGCCTCTCTCCTGTGCTGATTGCAGTTTATCTCTTCCCCCCGAACGTAGCTACAGTCTGACCAGTGCAGACTACATCTGGAGGATTACGTGCAGTTCTTTCATCTTCCTTTCTCTGATTTAGACTGTTCTTGACTAAGCCCAGCTTGCCTTGTGTTCTTCTACCATCCCTGATATGGATCGACTGGCCGCCTTTTCCTAAGAACCGGCACTGCAATTGAAGGGCTTGAGAGTTCCCTTCCTCTCTGGGGAATTAGACAGAAATGGATTCAAATGCTACCACTTTCACATGTTAGCTCCACATCACATAATCCAACATGTATAACCTCAATTTCCTTCTCAATGAAACGAAGGTAACACATACTTTGTGGGCATTAAAGTAAGATAATGTATGAAAAATAGATAGCATCTACAGTTAATTCTCATTATTTTCTGTAGTTACATTCTATAAGGACACCACAAACACTGAATATCAAATATTGAACTATTGCTCCTAGAGAAAATACAGAGTTAGATTTCTGTGTGCCTCTGGTCACAATATTTTTGTCTACTGATCAATACATAACCTTTTTTCATGTATTTTTCTGTTTAAAGACATTTTAATATATATTGTTGGTTCATTAGCATGGAACTCATGGCCAACATCACTGAAACACATGCCTGGAGAAAGATTATCCAACCCATTTTCTCAGTAAGGCACATCACCGCCTTCTTATGCTTAGGAATACTAGACAGCCCTACAGCACTACATTTGGGGGCTGTTTTCAACAGTGAAATTACCTACGAAAAGTAAAACAATACAGAAAACATGGCACTAAATAAACTGTGAAAAGGACACTTGTTTACAGTATGAGAGCTGAAACAAGAAAGCAGAGCATTTGTTCGACCTCATCTGGGAACATACTCATTAGACAACTAGAATTTCTCACTGCTTTGCTTATATCAATAAATGACCATAAAAGCACCATAAGTAGTGATTTTGGGATTACAAATAAATCTTAGTGAGTGGATGAATTCACAAATACGGAATCTATGAAATAATGTGGGTCAACTGTACTTTACCACCATGGTTAGCATATTAGTACAATTTCCTAGTATTAAGTACTTCTATTACCAAATTGTTTGATTTTTTCTGGTTTTATTTTTTACTTGCTCAGCTTTTTTATACCTCTTTCTGTCCCCCAGTTGTTTTCAGAAAAGCATCTCTGCATTTTTGGCAGATGCTTCATAGTCGGGAAAAAATACATCAGAATGATCTAAGCTATCCTACTACCCTGAAAAAGAGCGATATTTTTATTATCTTAGGAGTTTGGCTTTCTCTTAGTTCTCCCATAAGCCTCTCCCCGAGTTCTAGCTCCCAGCAATTTCCAAGGCCGGGAGAGTTGTCCTTAGAGTTCACACAAATCCCCCTTGTTTTCTAATTTCTACCTGATCCCATTTATCTTGGGTCTCTCAGGGGACAGAGGGCAGCTAATCACCAAGCTCTTCTTCCAGCTCTTTGGTTGACCAGCTTCTGGCACATACAGGAGAGAAGGGTCCCTCACCAGTGGGACTTCACTGCAAGAGAAACCTCTCTGCCCACAGACACCTCCCACATTTACCTCTTTATTCAAGCCTCAAACTTCAAAGTTAGGCAATTTTAGAACTAGAGGGGCTGGGGGCTTTCCCATACACCATAACAATAACTCAGTGAGGGGGGCTTACTGGCCCCAGGAACTGGGGCTCAGAGAGACTAACCAACTTGTCTAAGGTCACTAGTCCCAAAGCTCTTATTCTGTCCACTGCACCATGCAGCTGCTGCTTCTCAACCTTCGAGGGACAGAACCACAGTAACTCGTTAGTCACAGCATGAGCGATCTCTTTTTAAACAGCTTTATTGAGATTTAATCCACATGTCATACAATCCACCCATTTGTAGCATGCAACTCGACGGTTTTAGCATATTCACAGTTATGTGCAACCATTACCACATGTGATCTTAGAACATTTTCATCACCTCAAAAAGAAACCCAGGACCCTTCAGGGCTCACTGCCTTATCTGTCTCCCCATCACCCCAGTCCTGAGCAACCACTAGTCTACTTTCCGTATCTCTATATTTGCCTGTTCTGGAAGTTTCATGTAAATGAAATCATAAAATATGTGATCTTTTTGTGACTGGCTTCTTTCATTTAGCAAAATGTTTTCAAGGTTCATGCATGTTGTAGCATGTGTTGTTGTTTCATTCCTTCTTATGACCAAATAATGTTCCATTATATGGAAATTCCACATTTCTATAAAATATTTATCCATTCTTCAGTTGATGGACATTTGAGTTATTTCTACCTTTTGGCTATGCTGTAAACATTGGTGTATACAGTTTTATGTGGACATACATTTTCATTTTTCTTGTATATATACCTAGAAGTATAATTGCTGGGTACACAAGCTATTTCTTCTTAAATGCTGGTGGCATGTGGGGCCTTGAAGCCACACAGACCTAGGTTGAATCCTCGCTCTCCTATTTTCTAGTTGTAGGATTTGGGGCAAACACACCTCTCTCGGTCTTAGCTTTCTCACATGTAAAACAGAGGTAGTTATACCTACTTCCCAGCATCAGATGAAGTAATAATGGAAACATTCTTGGTCCAGTGAATGATCCACAGGAGCAGGTGCTGAACAGAGGCAGTTGTTCTAAAATCCTCCAAATATGGACTCCCTGAGGGAGGAGGTATGTGAGGAGCTCTTGGTGGTAAACAGATTGGGAACCAGTGGGCTGGGGGTCTTGTTAGCCCTCCCTGCTTTAATGATCAATGACTTAGGTGTCTGTGAGTGACTTTATGAGATCCTTTCTGAGAGCAGGTGGAGGGGAGGAGGCTGGGGAGGGGTGACAGCAGTGGGGACAGGAAAGCCAGCGAGCTCTGTGCAGCTGAGTGGAT